TTAACATAGATACAATCGTGCCCATAAATAAGGACATCTCTGTCATTTTTAATAAAATTTTTATTTTCTTGTAAACCAAACATATCAGGATTTTATTATTTCTAGTGCAAGAATATACAATCAAAACATAAGGTGTTATTTATTACCAAATTCTACAATGTTGAAAGTCTGTAAACAAAATACAAATATTTAGGAGTTAAAAAATAAGTACACTCCTGTGAAAGTTATTTAAAATCGATATGAGAGATAACAAAAAGACAAACTTTATTAAGCGCTACAAAGGACAGGAAGTTGTGGAGTGCCATGATCACCTATGTCCTCAAGGGAAATAACATAGAAGATGCCTATCTTGTTCAGGGAAGGTTTGACTGTTAAATGAAAAGTGCCCGACATACTTTTCTTTCTACATAATTTCAACATTTGATTTTCTTTGGTTTTCATATTGTAATCATACTTATTATAAAACCCAGGTTGTGTGTGTGTGTGTGTGTGTGTGTCTGTTCATTTATATATTGGATCGGATTTCCTACATTTTTCAACTGATTTCAACAAAACTTCACAGGACTATGTAAAATTACCTTGCGGTGGTTCTGACAGCGTCAAAAATTGGAAAAACACAATTGTTTTTGCACAAAATCAATTTGAAAACACGATTAAGATGCATCACGAGAATGAAAGGTTGGACAACTCATATCGAGTTATACTTATTATAAAACCCAGGTTGTTTGTGTGTGTGTGTGTTCGTTTATATATGGGATCGGATTTCCTACATTTTTCAACCAATTTCAAGAAAACATCACTTTTTTTTGACAGGTAGTGTTTCTTATTGTCTTGCAAACTTTTTCTTTATTTTTACATTCAGAATGCTTTAAAAATTCCATTTACAAGACAATTGTTTATAATAAAATTCTATTCAATCGGTAGACTCATAACGATTGAAAACAATGTTTTTGTTTGAGTTTGGGTTTGACCAATTCGTAAAAAAAAAAAAAAAAATAATTAAGACATGCGTATCCGTCAACCTTAAACAATAATCTTTGTCAATTTTATTTTTCAGTCTTTATGATACTTGATCTATCTCTTACTGTTACATCCCCGGGCAACGCCGGGCTCTACTGCTAGTCTGATATAACAACTAGTAGAATTTTTGGTTGGCTTGTATGCTCGAGCTGGTCGTTTTTTTCAGACATCCACTTTTCCATTTTCCTTCCAACTTTACACATTTTTGGTAACAGTAGTTTTTCTATTTTTAGTAACTGTTATATTATTGTTTGCACAAATAAATATATTTCAACACTGTATATTCAGCAAAAAAAAAAAAAAGAAAAAAAGAAGGAAAATGACATGATAAGATTGAAAAGTTCCGGATTTAGTAAAAAAACAGCTGACGAGGCATAGAAAGAGATTTTCAATCAATCACTGTTTAAATAAATTTCTAAAACATTACCGTTTTTATTTCCTGAAAACAGAAAAAAATATGAGATTTTGCAACAGGTCGTGGTCAGTCAGTTAAAAAATATTTACATGTCCTCAGAGATTTATGCCAAGTGACTTCTTTTCCTCAACAAATAGAGATTAAAAGATACATCGACAACTGAATCTACATGCCAATTTCTCTCAGTCAACTGGTTTCGCTTGTTTTTTCATCTCTAAAATATCACTTATAGTATTTACTAAAATTTATCTATAAAAGGCACATGTTCTTTTATGCGAATATTTCAAATAATAAAACCATTTAATATGAAAGGAGTCATGTCATCCATTAAATCAAGTTACATAATTACATGTAAAAACTTTGTTATAAAAATGTAATGTAGGGATAAAAAAGGCGATTTGGTCGAGATGAAGTCACGATGTCACATGAGGGCTGCTTAGTGACGTCATTTCGTAGAGTAACGAAAGTGGTCAGTCAGCTAGCTCACAGGAGTCAAATCGAGCAGTTGCTTTTATTTATTTATTTTTTTAGCCCGGACCCCTTTGGCCCAGGTTAAGACTAAATCTGCCCCCTCCTCTAACGGGGTGCAGATTACAAACGTATGGCGCCGTTCTCCTATGGAAATATATCTTGACCAAGTATACAAATATCTGCGGCACTCAGAACTCTTTTGGTCTCTTTTCATATTGCTTGTTGTTGCATATATGTATTATATTTTTCTGTGTGGGACACATGTAAATATGTAGATATGTAATTTTGTGTATGACTTAGCGGCATAAAACTGAGAAGAAAGCATGTTTGTCATTCCTTTTCCTTTCAGCCATTCCGTCCCGTCGTTGAACCACGGTGTTATTATAACCTGGATATAATAATGTCCATAATGGGGGTAACGCAAATGGGAGAATAATCCTTTCTTTCATAGCACACAGAGTGGTAAATAAACTGTGGTTTTAAATTTTATCACAATTATTTGAAGTGAATATTAATTATGGCTACGAATAAGTACTAACGCCATTATATTAGCACTTAAAATGTTTTTGTTTTTCTTCTTTATAAAAAATCTGATTAAAGAATGAACATGCTACTTTAACGTGTGTGTGTATGTGTGTGTGTGCGCGCTATTCTTTGCTTTTTATTTAAAGATATTTGAGCTGTGTTTTATTTAAAAATATGTGGTATTAAAAATAATGTGAAACGCCGAAACGAAATAAATTCCTCTCTACAATTTCTGACCAAATGCTTGAAAAAATACTTTATCGATTATCTGTATCTGAATCATTTGAAACCCCCTCCCCCCCCAAAAAAAACAAACAAAAAAACAAAACAAAACAAAAAACAAAACAAATTGTTAAAGTTATATTATTCTTACTTTAAATAATATAAACTGAAATTATGTAATAAAATGTCCTACCTAATTTTTAACGTAGAATAAATACATTGGCGGCCTCTTCCATGGCAACAGAAGAGCAAAACCTACAATGTATAAGCACAAGGAAGGACCTGTAGTATTAAAATCTGAGGTAAAATCGACACTGGCCAAGAGGAATGGAAACAACGCATCAAGACCAGATCAGATTGTCATGGAGATTGTGTCAGCCATAGACCATTTCAGGGTCGATATAATTATCGAAATAATAAATCAAATATACGACAGCAGTGAAATACCATAAAACTTCATAGGGATTTCAAAGAAGCCAAATGTTAATGAATACAAACTCCATGATATAATCAGGTTAATTAGCTAAATACCTAAACTTATAAATACGTGGATAAAGACGTTGGTTAGATGCAGTGACTACAACCAAAGAGTTGTGAGTTCAGTAACAGGCCACAACAACTTGGAGAGTTGAGTTAAAGGGAAATAACTGAGACAACCAGAAGAGGCATGACATGTGGAACTAGAACAATCTACCCCGGTGGACGAAATAAAATTGTGAATATAGCAATGAAGATGAGGTTAACAGTCCGAATAATGTAAATAATGCAAATAATCAGATTAATTAGATAAATAACTAAACTCATCATTAGGATTATAATATATTTCGTAGCAGATTTAAACCGGAAATAGGGCAAAAACAAGGTGATTGGAAATTTTATGAACGCATAATAAGAAAAGAAAGCTTAGAAAATTTAACACTCGCAGGGCATACTGAAGGGAACTGAAGCAGCTTGAGTTTGCATGAATAGATGGTAAAACAGTAACAGAAAGGGTGATAAAGGTTAAAAATTACTTAGAACAACAAAAACAGGAAATTTTAGAGATCCATGATCATCTGCATCTTGAAGGTTATTTTGTCGGTCATAATGAGAGGTGATTAACCACTTTGTGACTTGTTTTTGTTTTTAACAGAAAAAGAAAACCTCACTACAACTGATTTAAAATTAAGATTAAGAATGCTATTAATAAGCTAATGATAACATTACTTAGATACGTGTTCTTATTTATTAAAACCGATATAAATCTGGCCAAACATTAGACTAAAGGAACATCTGATTAAGAACGAATTTCTTACCAGCTATCCATGAGGGAAAGGTATGAATCCTCTTTTTCTCCCCCAGCTATGGGTATATATCAGGACAGAGTGGGTTCTATAACCTTGGGTGGAAACCAGTCTAGGAGAAGGAAAAACTCTGAATTCAAAACCGACCTGGATAGGGATGGGCTCCGTCAGGTTATCTTGCCCAAGAAACATCACTTCTACTGTGGTTGCAGTACACATGGTGCCCCTACGACCCTACGGGATGAAAAAAGAAATCCATGAAGACCAAACGTTTTTCAACGCTAAGAATATCCATTCTAAGTTAGGGTGTGTGAAACTTTTGTTCTAACGGATTTATTTTATTAGTCGTTTTAAGGAAAATGATTTTACAATGAAGAAACAGATCGTAGCCGGATATGAAAAACTGAGCGGAAATATTTGAGAAATTTTTTCTACAATAATTTCAGAACGTATTAATCGATTGTCGAATTGTAAACGTGAATAGATTAAACCATCCTTTCAGAAAATCAGTTTGAATTTTTAAAAGCATTGCTGTGCTGCCTGAAGTTGGCTGATTGGCAAGTCCAATGTTCTCTGTACTTTCACAGAAAGACATGTTGTGCATTAGCTATGCGCATAAGCCTCTTCTCATCAGTGCCAAAATAAGTTGTACTAATAATACCAATAATTATTAGTGCTGATCCAAGCAGACAGCATAAAGCGAAAACAACCGAGGCGTTCTTAAAATGGAAATATGCCAAATCGTCATTTCGTTCAATCTGGTTGCAACTTAAAAAAAATTAAAAATACAATCTACCTGAGTTAATATATCGTATCGTATCGTATCGTATCGTATCGTATCTATCTATCTATCTATCTATCTATCTATCTATCTATCTATCTTATCCTGTTTATATCTATCTATCTATCTATCTATCTATTTTAAGACATTTTTTTATGTTTATACGTTCTTTTTATATAATTGTCAGACTTTGTACATTTCATAATGTGTGACTATCTATCTATCTATCTATCTATCTATCTATCTATCTATCTATCTATATTCGATGAATTTTCACCCTATAGTAGGAGTTATCGAGTTAGTTTCGGGTTCTATTGTTAGTGAGTTTGATCTTCTAACTTGTCTCCCTATTTCTGGTCTACTCGCTCTTTGTTATCGGTGACTATGTTTGAGTAAACGCTAGATTTTAAAACTTGAATTTTAAAGAAGGTTACTACGGAATTGGCGGTACACTATCTTAATACTGACAGCAAAGCGTACTTAAAATACGTGGTAATATTTAGCACATATAATCTCAGGCCTTCCTTATGCTTGAGTTAGTTGCGTGTTTTTCTCTGGTGTTCATCTTCGGGTCAAGTTCAAAGGTAGAGTCTAGTGTTGATTTTTACCGCATAATCAGCGTAGTAGTTGTAAAATCTGCAATATTTGACTATTATAATTATCTGTAGGAAGAGGCAGCCAAAATAACTAAATTAAAATCAGTTCTGTTTATTTTCACTAGTCTTATCGGCAAATGTAATTGTTTCACTTTTTATATACGATCATCATCATCATCATCATCGTCATCAAAGGGCAAATAATACATAATACATAATATATATATAAAACAATATGACTTTATAATATTTACATTCGGACAAATGTTCTTATCTTTGTTGTTGTTACAACAACGTTTCGGTCGTTATGACTTCCGCCCCTTTTCAGGTGTCTGTCGATTTGTGTGACCTTTCGGGGAATTGAACCTTTTGTCGTGTCAACTCAGATATCAAATACAATATTTATGAGCCAATAACATTCAATAAAGTGCTTACATCTTAAAACACGTCAATAAAACCATAGAATACAGATCAGAAAGGTTGTTTTATTAGTCATCATGATTTACGTAAATGCTGCTAAAATATCGTGTGGATGTAGTAGAAGACATAACAAGTGGCTTTTTAGGACCAATTAGGAAGAAATAAATACTTTAATTCTGGAGCCGATGTTCTTACAAAAAAGTGTATAAAACACACGAAATCCGACCCCAAAACGGGGGATACGGACAGATGTCACCAAGGTCCACGTCACTCTCGTTGATGATCTTCACGACCTCATTAACGTCTACATGCAAAAAGCGACAGCGCTGACGAACTGCAAAGAGACTGGTTGGGATACGGCACCACAGTTCACAGTAAGAACCAAATTCTATTTCTGGTATCCTCTTTACTATTAAACACGCACACACATACTGAGTCTTTCACACACATTCACATATAACAACATTTCATTGTTTCTGACATACATACACAAATTCAATTTATATCCTATTCCAGAACAAGAATACAAACAGTTGGTTATAGATTAGAAAGTAATGTCTTTATTTTGGTTTTATTAACCAAAACAAAGACATTACATTCTAATCTATAACCAACTGTTTGTATTCTTGTCGTTATATTAAATTAATGTTTATTCGTTGAAACTACGTTGTCTTTTTCTACTGGATTTTATTCTTTCGATGAAAATCTTGGGATTATTTTAAACGGCCGAACTACGAGCAGTCTCGGAACAATATTTTATTGTATCGAATCCCGACACTTCAAATATTGGCATTTAACGAAAAACCGACTAGAAGAATTCCTACACCTTTATACTCGCCCTCTTTTACACCGAGTCTAAGTTTGCATTACCCGACCCAGAGATTGAACTCACAATTACTATATCACGATATTCACGAACAACGCTTTAACCCGCTAGGCTAGAACGTAGAACTTGGAGCTTTAAACATAATCTTTTACTCGCTTATCTTTTCTTATTACTGAAGTTGCTGAAGGCTTTTTGTTATTTCTTTTTCTTTATTAATGGCTCCTATATGGTATTTATTCCTATGTTAGGCCTACTGAGGAGGCACCCATAGTATGAATTATGCAAGTCTTGTTGAATTCTATTTTTACCTGAGTCGAGTGTTATGCAAGACCTGAATAAATGATACAAAGAGCAATTAAAAAAGGGGGCAAAACTTACCAAATAAAAAAACTAGAGGAAATTAAAGAACAGGGTAGGACTAGCAACAAAGCCCCTCCCCTCCGCGAATCGGTAAGAGCAGTTGAATGCCTCTAAACTTAGATATAACTCCAGTCGAAGGCTTGATGATCCCTAAGACCCATGCAGATGAGCTCAGATGGAAAGTGACAGCAGTGCTAGAGAAAATTCGATTCCTGTAGGAGAATACATATTTTCTAAGAAATTTTTCGAACATACAGGAAGTTAAATTTAATTAATACTGTTTAATTAAAGAACAGAGACATTTAAATAATTGTATCCATAGAAATAACGTATAGACAGAAAATATATAAATATATCTTGAAAATTTTACCAGCATCGGTCAGTTATTACCTATTTTATTGTGAAAACATTGACCTGTATAATACAATTTGATATAACTGCTAATTTTATTTGTACTTCAATCAGTCATTTCGTGTGGCGTACTTTTGAGCCGTTTGCAGTAAGAAAACTTTGATTTCAAAACTTATTTAGTGTTTATATTTCTAGGCGATTATCTTCCTAGTTGTAACTGAATAAAAAGACAAAAATGATATTTAAGATATTGTGCTGAAGTTAAAAGAAATCTCACGTGTTAAATGGCTGATAAGGAAGATATCGAAGTTATCTCCTCCTTAATTTCCTAATTGTTCACTAGGGGACGCTCTCCCTACACTATAAATACTGGGCGACTTCTTGCCTCGTTCTCTTTTTACTTTGTATTTCAGCGGATACGTTTAAAATGTGATCTCTCGCAGAGATCTGCGTTTTTGCCCACTTGTGGGAAAACCTCATTAAACACGCATACACGTATGTACGAACATTCACCAAAATACAAACTCTACGTTCACACACAAACACAAATGATGATGTCTTTGTTACTTGTAAATTTGTTGTTTAACACATATATTTTGTTGACACACACACACACACACACACACACACACACACACACACACACACACATATATATATATATATATATATATATATATATATATATATATATATATATCGGTCTTGTTTGTTGTTGTCTTTATATCTTCGGTTGGACTCAACTTGAGTCCACCATGTTCTTAACAGTTGGACCTTCTTCTAGCAGGAATAAACAGCACGTGTTCCTAATTGGACAAAACGCAAACCCAACGGTCCTCTACAAAGATTCCATGTTAACAAAACCAATTGTATACATAATTAGATGGTAGACATTATTCGCTTTGAAAGAGATATATGCAGAGAAAAGTTTCAAAAAGTATCTAGTCAGATGTCAGTCATGTATCCATAACATTGTATTTAACATTAAAAGATTTATGGTTCAGGTTTTACTACTGGCTGAAAGAGGTTTGTTTCAATCCTCTATTTAAAAGGTCGTGTTTAACAAAGGAATACAGAACAGGTTTTGTCCTTTCATATTGTATTTGAAAAATTAAAAGTACATTGTTGAATAATGTTTTTGCTTTCTAGATGCCTTGCTGTAGGTCAATGGTTAACAAGTTAATATTAAAGACCATTATTACTGTAGTTAATTCCAACCTCACTTAGCGCCCCCCTACTTATCGTTTTTTAACCATACTAAAGTCAAGAAATATCAACATTTATTCTTTGGAGCAGTTGCAAACAGTATTTTGGACGCTGCTTTTCTTTACTTGGACGATTGATGAAAAACAATTTTCTTCTTTATGTTATTATGGCGGTTGTGTTTTGTGGAATCATACGGGAGAAAGTGAGTGATGGAGGATTTGTGGAGGTTATCTTCTGACAACGCCCATTGCCTCCATATATCAGTATAATTTGGTTGGGGTGTATATTGGCCTTGGGTAATGATTAAAATGCACAACGAGTTGATAAATACAAAATAAATTTTAATATAACACGATACGATAATATGCAAGGATAAGGTGAAAGTTGAAATCTGAAGCGTTCAAGTGTAAATGTCCTGGCATATATATGTGTGTGTGTGTGTGTGTGAGAGAGAGAGAGAGAGAGAGAGAGAGAGAGAGAGAGAGAGAGCATGCGTATGTGTGTATGTATGGGTCTGGGAAGAAGTAAACATATATTTATGCATATATGTATCCAAATGTATCAGCCGCTTGCTTACAATGTGTGTTCCAATGTAACAGTGGGTTGCTTAAAAGGTAGATAAAGAAAGGGTGTATGCTCCCAGCTGGTCGCGCAAATGTCGCATTTCAGCCGTGGTTATGTTACGATGTCCACAGCATTGGAGAATGGACAAAATTTATTTATCGATTCTAGTTTTGCTTCATTTTCCATCTGGTTATATGTACATCTATAGATCCGTTTCGAAAAGGGCGCTCTGCTTCTCATTGGCTCTCGGCCTTTTACCCTGGTTGTGAAAACTTTCTGATTGGTTGGTCGAGCTATACCTTTGTGATTTGGCGATTTTAAATATGCAACTATTTTTAGAAATGGTGAAATTTTGGTCTCCTTGTTATTATTTGTTTATTTCTTTTCTTACATCCTAGTTGCGAAATCTTTTTGATTGGCTGGTCGAAATATGGCTTTATGGCCTGGCGATTCCGATTATCCATCTATTTTTGGAGATTGCAAAATTGTGGTCTTGCTATTATTTATTTTTTATTTCTTTCTCTATCATTACACTGTATGCTCAGTAAACATCAATAACACATATGCTTTATGGCTGAAGTGAACCAAGGCAGATTAATTTTTCCTACACGAGTAATTGGCACTACATAGTCTTCCTACCTATTATTTGGTCCGATGCTTGACAAAGTTAAACTTAGTAAATATCAATATATCGTGAATAAATTTGTATTTACTTTCATCTTATATCTTAGTAAGTGTATGCTCATGCGCGTGTGTAAGCCAAGAAGATAACAGTAATTCTTTCATCAAGTTCGCTGTTCAATGCGTCTTCTTGACCATTTCCTCAAATAATTTTACAAACACTTCTAAAAAAGGAAAACGAACTTCAAATCTCTACCGATATCCAAATCATATTTCAATCAAGCTAGATTAAAATTTTATTACGTTGTTTTAAAATTTCTGTCCAGAAAATAACTTTAT